AGCATGGTCATATGTATGGAGGTCATGTCCTCATCAGTACCTATATGATATGCATTGATGCAAAAGCATAGATGTAAATAACCAATGACAGCCGACGCTTAGAATTCCAATCACGCCTCGCAAGCTAATGAGATAGCTCTAACGCTGGTCTACGTATCCATGTTGTCGAATAAGGCGTTACTTCCCAATAATTGTTTTAGTTATACAAACCCGAGTTATTTCTCTATCCCATTTTATCCATTTAATCTTTATTCGGAATAGGGCATCATTATCTATTTAGCAGACTAATTATTCTGTAGCTACAAAAATTACCGTGGGTACCTACTGTACAAATTTCAGATTCAACAATATTACCGATTTATCATGGAAATTCCTACAAGTTTATATTTTATAATATTAAATACCTTAAATTAATTATATAGCTTCCAAGAATAATATCACACTATGTGAACAAACTATACTAACAGGTAGATCATGATTTTAGCAGACTAACAAAACTGGTTTGACATTTTTACAATTTTTCTATGACTTACTATGAATTTTACCAGTTTATTTTTGAGACTAAATTAACACATACTTTTACAAAATTAAAAGGGCAATGGCCACCAAATCGGCCTAGTGGAGACCAGCGATATCCGGCTGGCCTAGCGGAAGCGCGGCAGCAGCCTAGGCGCGACATTGATCGGCCGGCCCAGCGAGCGAGTGCAAACGGCGGCCCAGGTGGTAGGCAGGCCAACGGCCCAACGTGGGCCGGCGCGAGCGGCCCAGCCAGGACAAGCGGCCCACAGACGCGTGTGGTAGGCCCGGCAGTGCGGCGCGCGCGGCCCAGCGGCGCAAGGCCAGAAGCTAGCGCGGTCAGGCCAGGTGCACAGGCCGCAGCCCAACAGCTGACCCACGCGGCTAGGATCCAGAGAGGACACGTAATTATGCAAAAAGAACCATGTGCTTTCTCGAAACTAACCATCAGTTCAACAGATACTATTCGTATGAGTCACGTATTTCGTAGTAAGGACCATGTATAAACTTTCAGCTTGGATTCATACCCTTCACTTCATCTTCAATAACAGAGGACAGACCGAGGAGCATCGGTCGGCAGCCAGGCGGTTGCGCCTAGCGCGGACGACGGTGGAGGAAGCGCTGTGGAGCAGCAGGCCAGCGCCGCGGCACGGGTGTGGACCACGACAGAGACGCAGCGCAGAAACCGAGTGCACCAGCGCGTGCAACGGCCGGCGTCAGGCCGCAGGTGCCAGCGGAAAACAGCGAGAGTGCAGCCGCCGGTGCTTTACGTGGAATGAGCAGCAGAGAGCGGCAGCGTGGAGCTGCGCCAGGATTCGGACGCGGCAACGGCAGAAGTGGAGCGGCGTGGGTAGGCAGCACCGATGGATGGCGGTCCAGCGCGGACCGAGGTGGCATGGTGGCCCCGCACGGCAGAGCGAGAAAAAGAGAGAGAAACTGATGAGGCGAGCGGAACGAGCTGAGGCGCTGATGGCACTGGCAGCTCGGATGCTTGGGCTGTGGAGGAGAGATGAGAGGTGGCGCCCTTCTATATGCGGCCCTGAGAATAGAGCTCGGCTGTACGCACTGGTAGAGCTGCGTTAAGGCTGTCCCCCCCCCGTTTGCCTCGGAGTAATCTGCATGCATACGTGCAAGCAAACTGGTTCCTGGCAATTGTGCACATGCTAGACGTAGGTAGTTGGAGGCTTGGAACTCAGCTTGGCAGATGCATAGGATATAACTGTATAAGTAAAGGCAGACAGGGACAACACCGAGGCAGGCAAGGTCAGAGACAAGACAGGGACGTGAGAACTCGTGAATTGAGCTTTACTTCACCGGCCATAGAGACAGCAGAGGCAGCACGACGTGGTTGCATGTGTGCATGCACTTGCTTGCTTGCTGAGTGCACATGTGTCCAGGGTAAGAGCTGTTGATACTTGTTGTTTGCTCTGGAATGATGCGATGGAAAAGGCAGAGAGAAGAGAAAAGAAAGAGCGAGGAGCAGTCGGTCAACTTATACAGTCAATCGCTACTAGTATCGCTGAGTACGTTTGCCTTTTCTTCTAATTCTTTGTTTTAGAGTTATCATCGTAACATGTGTGTGTATATATAACGGTTTACTAATTTAGATAATTTGCAACGTCTGGACACAGAAAAATTTCAACAAAGCTCGAATTTAAATTTGATTCAAAAGCTATATATATGTATATCGCTCTATTTATTAATGGATTTTATTTTATTAATAAAAGTTGCTTTTCATGCTTAATCTAACAGGACAAACCGTCCACTAGCATCGTCGCTCGACATCCCTAAATATCCTTTATGTACCGAGCAATTTAACTTGGCGTTGATTCGAGTCCACAAAACTAAGTCATACAGGATTCACTTATCACGTCGAATACTTTTTAAATCAAAAATACGAGAAACTCGTTTTGAAAATTTTACTTAGGCCTAAATCGCGGTGCTAAACATGCTCGTAACACCAGGGGTGTTACAGTTATGTAGCCACCGGCGGCGCTGCTGACCTGCTGTGTAGCCAAGGGCAAAACAAGCCATTCTAACCAAAATCTTATGGCATATTTGGATGAGACCCCTGGGAAAGCAGTCTGACATAGGCAGTGGTCCCCGGCGACCATTTTTTGTGGCCTAGGGCTAGATGTTGTTGCCTGGCCCAGGCAGCATCCTAGGCCAGCAACCAAACAAGCCCTTAATTTTGGGGATATAGAGCTGTTATGTAGCCAAACAGTTCCATATAGATTCATGGTGGATTTCAGATCCAATAGTGAAGTTGTTCTACGGTGAATTCCAAATTCGGATTCTCTTTTTCGATGATAGAGTTCTACAAACAAACCTGTACTATTCTATCATCCAGTCATATATCTTGGCAGAGCCCAAATCTGTACATAATGTTTTCTTAAAACATGACATGTTCACCTGTATATACAGAGAGATTCCTGCGCATACACTAGTACGCTCTCCATACGAGCAATGCAACTTTATAGACTAGACCGGTAAATTTCAAGATCATATCATATGGCTACTAAAGATTCATAATGTGTTTGGTTTGTGGGATATCTATAATAAGTAGCATTTGGTTGGGTGGCAACTTGGATAAGGACAATCAGTAAAAGATAATTTTTTTTTGGAGATACTGAATGAACATGCTCATAAAAATCTACGGAATGAGTTTATCCATATTTTCTTATCTTGATTATTAGTAAATAAATTAAAGCTTATTAGTAAGTTACATATTATTAATTTTGTAATTATGATGGTAAGATTAGTTTTGGTAAGTAATATTGATTAGTGCATGATTTTTGTGCCAATTAGGTAGTAGTGGTTCTAATTACATAGTGTATTTTGAATTAGTAATTATCATGTAAAAAAAATAAGTCTTTATACATTTTTATTAGTGTACAATTAATTATTGTTATTTTAAAATAAAAGATATACTCCCTCTGTTCTTAAATTATAAGTTGTTTTTGGCTTTTCTAGTATAGCTTTTGTTATGCACTTAGATACTACGCTATGTCTAATATATATATAGCAAAAGCTACGTACCTACAAAGCCAAAACGACTTATAATTTAGACTGGAAGAAGTATTTATCAACTACTACTATTATCCATCCAACCAAACAATCAATGGCTCGTAACACAAAGGCAAACACATAGGCAGCGTGGATGCTATAATAAAATCCATGGATTATCATATCTCATACAATTAAGCTCTCAAACCAAATAAATTTTAGTAATTATACAACTAGTTTGGGTTACTTATAGTAGAACCTGTCAACCTAAGTGGCTGGGTTTAATAAGTTTTCAATTTGACGTGGATGATTGTATTTTTCTAGATTTCTTCCACATCAATAGCAAGGTGCTAATCTCAAGATGTGTCAGCTTTGACCAAAAAAATGGCGGAGATGGTATATGTGCATCTTTCCATGCTTGGAAGTCGTTCTAGAATTTTTTTTTCCTCATCATCATTTGCTACAAAAATTGTTTTTTCCTGTGCATCACTACCTCTGGCCCCTAGTCTGGATCGGCTCCTCTCCTTGTGCCCACGGACTAGGACCTCTCCAAGAGACGCACACGCACTGATGCACGCGCGCACGCGCGGTCACTCCTTTGCAGTTGCAGTTGCAGTTGCAGTTGCGCAGTATATGATAGAGTGATGGATGCATCAGGGATGTGCTTTGGTTACTTGGACACCCAAAGGGGAACCAGCAAGAAAAAGAAAAGCATCCAAGAGGCGGCACTCGCTCTCTGCAGCAGCAGATTTTGTGCTTGTAAATTCATGCAATCATTTATCTTTTAAAAATTCATGTAACCGAAGATGGTTGACATCGTATCATCAAGCAGATGTCCTGTTAGGTTTTGCCAGTTGGTCAGTCCCCGCTAGCCGGGAGGTTAGTATGTTAGTTGGTTTAGTCTCTGAGAAATGTTTTTTCTGAATTCTGTCTAATCTGTAATCCGAATGCTTATATTTCCGTTATGCTATAATGGGAATGGGGAGATGCTTCGCTTGGAAAAAAAAATCAAGCAGATGTCCTCGCTGCAATCATCACGTCTAAAGCAGCGTGTATCGTTACAGTTACGACAGACTTTGTCACCCCCACCGCGCACTACGAGCGCATTGCTCTCGATTACAACATGTGTGCACGCCTCAAATCCGTTCCCGGTAGATGTATCTGCTCCGTGGTATGTGTGGAACACAAAAGGTGATATATGTATACAACTCGTATAGAAACTAGTACACATTTCTCGTATGTAAAATCGAAACCCAAAATGTTGTGGTTGCGTATGAGAGCAAGAACCAGATATGAATTGATTATGTTGCTCCAAAAAGAAGGTGTGGACAAGTAAGACAAGCCAGGAACGAGCAGCAGAGCCCAGGACCACCGCGTACTGCACCAGCGGCACGGGCACGGCCCTACTCAGCTCATCTCTGGTTTTTTTTTTTTTTTTTTTTTTTTTTTTTTTTTGCGATTCAGACTTCATTCATTTATCACTGAATATCAGGATTACAATCTTCAGCCAGCAGGCGATCGATGCAAGTTGGGGCTATTTGCCACTCTCCCAACCTGTCGTCACCCGTGACCTGCTTACATAACAAGTACGCTACACGATTACATGATCGAGGAGCATACATCAAAGAAAAATCAGTAAAACTTGTGCTAAGCTCTAGCATCTCGCTAAGAATCAGCGCTATATGTGATCGCATGAAAGTCCTCTTCTCCCACAGCTTGGCTAGCATCTCACAGTCGGTTTCCACTAGCAATTTTGAGACTCCCTTCGACCTTGCCAGCTGAATTCCATCCCTGCACGCAAGGGCTTCCATCATCAAGGCATCCAAACCACGGGGGTACCAAAGGGCTCGACCACCCTCAAATCCCCTCTCCGAATTTCGTAACATTGCTCCTGATGCTCCCTGTCCATCTTGGAGACTGAAAGCAGCATCTACATTGCATTTTATCCAGTCTTCAGGTAGTGGCTACCATCGCTGCCGCCCTGCGTTACGTTTCGCCGGTTTCTTCTCCTGAGAGATCCGCTAGAGATCATGCGCCAGGTCTACTGCCCATTGTACAGCAGCCCTGATCGGCACCTGATTCTCCCCATGGCGACGTTTGTTCCTCTGCGACCATAGCGAATACATGCCGATGATTAGTAGGCATCTGTCCTTGTCTGAACACACCTCAGGGCGAAGAATGTCTGATGCCCAAGACAAATGATGCAATGCCGACATTTTGGTCCCCGTAAGCTGCTTGATATCATGCCAAAACATTTTTGCTATAGTGCACTCAGTAAGGACGTGCTTGATTGATTCGCTGTCCGCTCCACAGACATCACAGAATGCCGTCGGCTCAACATGGCACTGATGCAACACAGCTTTTGCCGGGAGAAACTCATGGAGAACTCTCCACCAGAATACCCGAACCTTTGGTGGCACATTGAGTTTTCAAGTCCTTTTCCAAGAGACATCTCCTGACCCTTGCGGCTGCACCAAATCCTCTTGCTCTTGGTCAGCAGCAAGCTTCCTGTAAGCCGATCGGACAGAGCATCCACCATGTTTCTCTGGCTCCTAGGCTGAAAGCATGGCCAACAGTTTAGTTTCGGTGATTAATGACGACACGAGATTACTATGACTAACGTGTGTTTTGCAGAGACAATTTGAGTTAGGTCATGATAATGAAAATTGATTGGACAATCATGTTTGTCATGCCCTGTCGATGGAAATCATTTCGGTTTTCAAAGCATGGACGACAAGGTTAAGGACGGACTAGTTCTCAGTGTCGTTTGTTGTTGGAAAGACACTTAGAACAGTTTATGACTTTGTTTTTCCTTTAGCCGTACTATTAAGGGGTTATGGATCAGTAGCTTAAACTAGGTGAGTCTAATGGATTAGGTGTGGTGCACACTTGTCAAACTTAGCACTAGGTAGCTCAGGAATAACCCTAAGAACGATAGAAGTCATCTTCATTCACAAAGAAATTCGAATTGAAAGTAAATGGAGAGTCAAATGACTGACCAGACGCTGGTTTGGTTGTAACCGGACGCAGCTTGGAGAGTCCTGTCAGTTCATTTGATCGGCAGCAGTAGTCAAAGTGCGACCGAATGCTGGACACCAGTACTCACCGGACGCGACGCTAGCCGTATCTGTAGCAGCGTGGACAAGCTGTTGACCACGGACCAGACGCTGAACAGAGAAGTGACCGGACTCTGGGTGCCAGCGTCCGGTCAACATCAGTAAGGTTCCAGAGAGGGTTTTTGATGACCGGACGCGTCCAGTGGGTGCTGACCGGACGCGTCCGGTGGGTGCTGACCGGACGCAGGTCAGAGTCTGGTCAGAGCAAACGGCCCTTTTTGACACGCTGACATATTACACTGACCGGTGCGTCCGGTCACCTTGACCGGAGCATCCGGTCATCCTGATACTTGCAGAGTTGGACCTCAACCGTTATGTTTTGAATGGGGGTATAAATACATATCCCACTCATTCATTTGAGGTCTCTTGCCCATTTATTCAGCTAACAATCACCTTTGGAGTGCAAGAGAGAGTAAAAGCCTAGTGAGGTGATTGAGATTTGATAATCTAAGATTAAGGACCTCATTAGTGCATATGGAGTAGCAAGTGTGCATCCACCTTACTCATTAAGCTTGTCTTGGTCATGTGAGAGTTTGTGCTTGTTACTCTTAGTGATCGCCATCACCTAGACAGCTCGGTGGTGATTGGGAGCTTGATGATCATCCGGCGGAGCTTGTGGATGACCCAAGTCACTTTGTGAGCGGTTGTGGATGATTTACCACGACGGAGTATCAAAGAATCAGCCTGTAGAGAGCACTTGATCCTTGCGCAGATCAAGGAGAGCTACACCCTTGCTCGGGTGCTCCAACGAGGACTAGTGGGGAGTGACGACTCTCTGATACCTCAGAAAAACATCGTCGTGTTCCTTTCTCTTTTTACTTTGAGCATTTACATTTGAGTAATTTATTTCATGTCTTTATATTCCTAGAATTATCATACTAGAGTATGATTAGAACCTATGATACAAAACTTTGGTACGGGAGAACAATAGAAACACATTTTAGACACAAGGGATGAAATGGGCTAAGTGTAGGGCCTAATTATTGCAAAAAATTAGAATTAGCCCAATTCACACCCTCCATCTTGGGCATCTTGATCCTTTCAATTGGTATCGGACCCTTATGCTCCCTAAATTAGGCTTAACCGCTTAGAGCAAGATGTCCCACGGGGATGGATCCCCTCTATCTTTAAGGGAGATGATTTTCCTTATTGAAAAATTTGCATTGAGGCATACCTAGAGGCTTTAGATGTTGGAGTTCTTAGAGCCGCCTCATAAGGCTTCCCAAAACCAAAGGATCCCGCCAACGTTCAAAGCGATGAGGTTAACTACAAGAAGTTGAATGCAAAGGCTAGAAACACCCTCTTTAGAGGCCTTTGCAAGGATGTTTTTAACCGTGTGCGGAATCACAAAGACGCCCATGCACTATGGTCGGACATTTGTGCACTCCATGAGGGAACCAAGAGTGAGCGTGAGGAATGCTACCACCTTGTGATGAAAAGGCTTAATTCATTTAAGATGTTTTCTAGAGAAAGTACCAATGAGATGTATTCACGCTTGAATATTCTTGTAGAGGAAGTCAATGGGCTTGGACTCACACAAATGCAACCCTCCGATGTTGTGAGAAAGATCTTGAGTGTCCTCCCCATTGACAAATATGGGCATATTGTGACGGTGCTTCATCAAGGTAATATTTCCACCACTACACCAACTCAAATATTGGAGAAGATCAATGCACATGAGATGTACATGCACATCACTCCACAAGATGGCTCTTCTTCCACCAAGAAGAAAGATTTGGTATTTAAGGCTAGCCAAGAGAAGAGAGGCAAAGCAAGAGTTGATCATAATAGCTCAAGTGATGATAAGATTGATGATGCAAGTCTCGCTCTCATAGTGAAAAGAACTACCAAGATGCTCAAGAAGCTAAACAAGAATGGTGTCAAGTTTGATGGCAAGAAGAAGAAATTCTTCACCAGTAATAGAAGGAAACCCCCGAAATGGATTGATATAATTGTGGAGAACTTGGTCATCTAGTTCATCAATGCCCCAAACCTAAGAAAGACAAGTACAAGAAGTACAAGGGCAAGAAAGATGACTCAAGTGTTGAAAATGATGATGAAAAGAAGAAAAACAAGCCATACAAGAAGAAGGATGGCAAGAAGAAGGGATTTCACAAAAAGAAGAAGAATGGCAAGGCATACATTGTTGGTGATTGGCTCACGAACATTGAATCATCAAGTGGCTCATCCGATGATGAAAGTGAGAATGAGAAGGAGAAGGTGGCCGCTCTTATGATTGATTCTTCACTATCTTCACCAACACCGCCGTCGTCATCTTCTACACACCTATGTCTTATGGCCAAGGGTGAACGAAAGGTACAAAATGATGATGATAGTAGTGGTGATGATAATGCTAGCAATGATGAAAGTGGTAGTGATAGTGATGAAAAATTTGAATCACCTTCTTATGATGATCTTATCAAGTTGCTAAACCAATACACTAAAATCATTAGAAAGACAAGAGCTAAAAATGAAAAACTAGAACTTGAGAAGGACTCACTCTTAGCAAAGTATGACATAGCCAAAAAGGCTAGTGTTGAGCTTAGAGAAGAAAATAAAATTGTGTCATCCAAACTCAAGGAGCTCAAATCCTCTAAAAAGGAGCTTAGAGAAAAATATGATAAACTTGAGGGGATATATAATGAGCTCACCATTAGTTACAATTTGCTAAAAGAAGAGTACACCAATCTCAAGATTAATCATGACAATCTTGTTCTTTCTCATGAGTTATTATTCAATGAGCCACATGATGCTACTAACAATGTTGTTAAGATTGATATAGATACATCATGTGATGACTTGATTGTTGAGAGCATTGAGCAAGGTTCTAGTAGCAAAGGCAAGAAAGTGGTTGAGTCTGACAACTATGATGATTATGTCAAGCTCAAGAAAGATCTTGAAAAGCTATCAACCACCAACACAATTGTGATAGAGAATCTTGACAATGATTATGATATAGCTCTTGAGAATGAGATGCTTAAAGAAGAGAACAAGAGACTCAAGATGGAGAAAAATCATGATGAATTTAGAGAAGAAAACAAGAAGCTCAAGTTGGAGAAAGAACATCTCAAGACTAGGTTGAGAAAGTTCACAAGAGGCCAATATCTCCAAAGTGAGCTACTCATGAACACCGTGATGAAGATAGATAGAAGTGGTATTGAGTACTTGGCAAATCAAGAGAAGAAAGCTCAAGCTCAACATCAACAACAATACAATTCAAAGCCTAAGCCAAAGAGATGTTTTAAGTGTGGACAAGAAGGTCACTTTGCTCATGAGTGTCAAACTCCACCACCATAACCTTTGCCTAGGCATGCTAGACCATTTGCCTTTAATGCTCACTACATGCTTAGAAAGGATTTTAGTGGAAAAATAAAAGTCATGTTCTTAGGTCCACCCAATAAGAATAGGCCTAAGCAAATTTGGGTTGCAAAGTCACTAGTTCAGAAAGTAAAGGGCCCTCATCAAGTTTGGGTCCCTAAACAACAAGCTTGATCTCTTGTGTGTAGGTGAACTATAAGACCGGTGGAAGTTATTGGGTTATTGATAGTGATTGCACTCAACATATGACCGGTGATCCTCGTATGTTCACCTCACTAGATGAAGAAGTAGATGGTCAAGAAAGGATTACATTTGGTGATAATTCAAAGGGCAAAGTTCAAGGATTAGACAAAGTTGCAATATCAAATGATCATTCAATATCAAATGTTCTATATGTTGCTTCATTGAGTTTCAACTTGCTATCCGTTGGTCAATTGTGTGATCTTGGCTTT